ACTGCAGGCGTAATGCTATCGGCGGATGTCTCCTGCTGCTGCAGTCTTGGGCATGGTATCGATTGCCCTTTATTTTGTTAAATTTGTTTTGACTTTTTTTAATGTATTTCAGTTAATTTTGTTTATTACGATTTAATATCAGTTATTGTAATTTAGTTATCATTTACCATTTAATACTTATTGTAAGTTTGTTGTATTTAAAATTATTTTGAAATACCAAATTGTTCGATAACTTTCTTAAGTTTGTCACTTATTATCTCTTTTATTATAATCACATATAACGCAAACGTCCAATCTCGTATTATTGTATCATTTTTTTAATCTTCATCAGCGATTATCGAATGACATTAACTTGAAGTAAATGCAAATTAAAGTACAAGAATTATTATTTGATAAACAAATACATCATTTCCTCATCAATTGTTACTTGATGGCAACATAAGTGGACATGTTTTTCTAGTATGTCCTGGGTTTCTACAATGCCCACATCTTCTGTCTTGTCTTGATCTTTCTCGAATATCCATATCGCAATGAATTCGATTGGATTTTGGACGACCACGCTCCCTAATAAACTCGGATTTGGTACAATCGGAAGCCAATCTTGAACCTCATCAAGGTCTTTGTCATTACCTATGGGGGAAACTCAAATTCGTATACCTTAAAAACTTCAGATAGTAGGTATACGAGATCCACAAAATGGTTATAATCTTGAAGTGTATGCGAGCAAGCTGCTATCACATGAGAGCATGGATACTTAAGAGCTTGAAAAAACCCGCAGTCACATGTTCTGTTTCTTAGATTTACTCTTAACGACACAGCTTCAATCCCTTGAAGAGGTCGCGACAACTCTATGACACGAAACATTTCATGCCTTCTAAAGAAGCTTGTTACAGACATTCCATTTGATGTAGAAATTTTTTTCTGTAGATCTGCAACTAATCTAGGGTGATAGACATGACCGCCTTACATCCAGGTTTGAGCTTGTCCCCCGAGCTTCGTAAAAGCACCCACAAACGACAATATGTAGTCTTTACCAAAGCCGCTACTGGTAAGTGCGTGCACCCTTTAAAGTTGAATTGATTGCCTCTGCCAAGTTGGTCGTCATGTGTCCATATCGATATCCACCATCATATGCGTTCGTCTACATTTCTTTATCGATGAGGCTGATGTAATCGTATCCTTCCTCGTTCTTCGCCCGTAAATCTTGAAGCATTGATTCAAACGTTCGAGGAAGTAGTTCGTAACCTGATAAAAAAATGTATAAATTACTAACTTGCTTTCTTTGCAAAATTAAAACGATCGAAAAAAACAAACTACATCAGTTTCACTTACCCATGCGCACAATTAATTGACGCTCATCATTCTTCTTGTACCTTCCATGGTAGTTCGCAACAATGTATCAAAGACAATACCTATGTTGGACAAAGGGTGGTTGCCACATTTGACCCAAAGACTCCATTGCTGCTTTGATCCCAGCTCCGCGATCTGAAATGACACAGATATTTTCCCTCGTGATAACACATGCACGTAAATTTCGGAGGAAAAAAGCCCAAGAATTTGTATCTTGTCATTCGACAAGAGTAAAAGCAAATGGAAGAATGTTGTGATTGCCATCTTGGACAACTGCCAATAATAAAACTTGCTTGTATTTTCCATACAAGAAAGTCCCGTCGATCTGGACCACATGCTTACAATATTTGAAAGCATTAACGTACTGTGGGTAAGTTCAAAAAACCCAGTAGAATTGTCATCGATCGCGGAGAACTCGATCATTATGGTATGCATAGGAGGTTTCAAAATCCACAATTGTCCCAGGATTCAACCTCCGCACCAGCCTAAACCAGCCTGGAAGTTCGTTGTAAGATGCATCCCATTCACCATGAAGTTTGACAATGTCATTTTGTTTTGCCAACCAAGCTTTTTTATAGGAGACAGTGTACCCATACTGCGATTGTATAGATGAAATCAACATAGCAACAACTATATGAGAGCTTGCTTTTACCATGTGCATGATGGCTTGACATATCACTTTAGAGTCCAAGTTGGGATGATCTTGGTTGACCCCTCCATCACAACATGTGTGAGGACCGTTGTATACTGTTAGTTCCCATCTGTTGTTTTTCCTCTTCATTTTCTATACGCGAACCATCCAATTACATCCGTTTTCGCGTCATGCATAGTAGCATACATATTTTTCTATCATGGAGCGGTCGACTCTCGATTGAACAGAATTACGGATATTGTAATTTTTTATAGCCATCATCGCTTCTTCTTTGCTTGAAAACTCCATGCCTAAATATAACTCACCATTATTTATTGATGAATAATATCCATAGTCACCGAGATGAAACATATCCGTAAATTTTGGCCCATATATTGCACCATAATCAGCTTCATACATGTGTGCTGGAGGGTTAGTTTGTGTCACATTTGCTGGAACTTGATCCACATCATCATCATCATCAGAGTTGAATTGTGGTGATTCTGGGTGAATGAATAGTCTAGTCTCAGCACCATCCGCACTAGGCTCACGAAGCGGTTCTTCTGGTAGAGATGATGGTTCCTCCATGCTCTCCACATTTAGGTCGAATAACCTACTACTTGCACGCCTTCCCATTAAACTGGAAGGCATATCGACATTCAGATCGAAAAAGCTCGCAATCGAATGCCTCTACCTAGAGCTTGAAGCCATCGTGTCAAATGGAAACTGCACAGATGGTTGCGTCGATGGCATCTCCATATTAAGGTCAAATGAATTTGCAGATGAATGTCTTCCCCTTGAACTGGACTCGATGTTACCATACGGATTGTTCGTCGACCCACCTCGGTACATATCGTAAGGAGTTGCTGATGAATGTCTCCTCATTATGGCATTAAAATCATTACACATTACTGTCGTCGGGTTGTCAACTTGATCAAGTTATTCAGCTAGCCCATAGTGGGAGCTTAATGATTGACCCCGAACGATACGCACTTGAATAAAATTTGCATACATCTCAATATCGACGTCTAAATAATTACTTTGAGCTTCAACCATCATTTCAACATCATCATTGTTCAAAAGTTCGAATGTTGTATAAGTTAATGGCAACAATGATGTTGGAAATCTATATTGCAACGACGACATTCTTCTACTACTTCCGATATGAATCTTCCTCAAAATCTTCGTTATCGGCTCCTCAAGAGTTATGTTTCTCTTCAATGATATTTTAACACACTCATTTGATACGAAAACAACGCCGATTTCATCTTCTCGAATTTCACCATCATAATAAACAATAGCTGAAAGTAACGCCATTCTTTGAGTTTAAAAGTGCGGCAATATTATATCTGCAAAATAAAACAACTGAAACAATGTTGATTAAATAAATAATATATGACCAAAAATATAACAAAATAAAATTTTTACACATACACGTAAATAATTTAAATAATATAATTTTATATTATTACCTGTACTGCAAAACTATTTCGACGTATATTCTAGCTTTCTAATTTTACAAACACATAAATTAATTGACAACAATTAGTATAATATTTTTTTCAAATAATCATAATAAACAATAAATATAATAAAAAAATTATCACAAAATTACCTTATAACGAAAAATCGCACGAACTTCTGAATAAAATATGAGAAAATTGTCAGAATTATTAACTCGTTGACGGAATTATTGTATTAATTTTTAAGTTGAGAGGAGAGATGTGAGGAGATGTGAGGAATTTAACCCGGGGGAGAAGGATATTTATAGCCGAAAAAAGTTGTAACAATTATACAAGACGCAGTACCTGCCCAGCGCTATATATGATTATAAAGGTCAGGCGCGACCCCTGACCCGCGCTTTACCCTACGTGGAGTAAGGCGCGTCACAGGGAGCGCGCCTTACTGCAAAGGGTGTTAGATCGAGAAATATAATCTGATCGGTGTTAGATCGGTAAATATACCGATCACAAGTGATTTTTTTTGAAAAAACGCCCTTATAAAAAGGGGAAAAGCTTAAATTAACAGGGAAAAGCAGTGTTTTGAAAACCGGATCGGACCGGACGGTTCAACCAAGAACCGCTGTCTAGTCCGGTTCAAACTACACCGGTTGAACCACTACTAGTGAACCGACCAGAACCGTTGAGCCGTTCAAACCGGACCGATTGAAAATCGGAAAAAACCGGGAAAAACCAAAATTTTGTTTTTTTAAAAAAAAAATTAAACCAAACGGTGTCGTTTGTTAAACGAGCCAAGTTGAACTCGAGTATTGCTGAGCTCAACTCAAACTTTAAAAGTAAGCTCAACTTGACTCAAACTCACGAACTAAAAATTATCAAGTTCAACTCGAACACGAAATATAATATTGAAACTTGAACTCGAAAAGGCTTAAACTCAAAAAAAATTTAGAAGCTCGATTGAAGCCTAAAATTCGAGCTTGATTGAAGTGAAAGAATAGTTCACTATATGCTCACCAAAATGCTCCATGATTTTGAATGCCAAATTACCTCTATTATTTATAGAAGTTAGTTGGGATGCTATTCTATGTTTTTAGTCATGTGGGATTGTTTTGTTCTCATATTTTTACTCTTTAGACTTTTGAGATGTTCTTCTATGTTTCTTAACCATGTGAGATTGTTTTGAAAAAAATCAAACTAAATAATATCATTTTGTTATGATTTTTTAACCCCAAATTTATTTTTTAATTATAGTTATATAATTATATTTATTATTTAATATGTTTTACCTTAAATATATTTTATGGTTTTTAACTTATATATATTATGACTTACTTTAAATATGACTTGTGATATACAAAATTATTTTTTATTAAATATTTTTGGTATTTTTATTTAATTTTTTAAATAATTATGACGTCGTCCGATTTTTCTGATTGATTGAACCTGTTGGATCGGTTGAACTAATGAATCATAGCATGATTGGTTCGTTAACCGATCCGTTCTAAAACCATGGGAAAAAGACATAATTAGGTGGAAAAGAAGTTGTCAAAGAATAGAGAATGGAGGGGAAAAGAGGTGGCAAAGTCGGTGTTTGGGAACTTGAACCATGTATCGACTCGGCGCAGTTGCAGTATCACCACCTTCATATACGTCAAATCTCTCCCACTCCATTATTGCAGATAAACTAAGCTTCCACTGTCACACGCCGTTTCCCAAATGAAGGTTAGAAATAAGATCAGATTACACAAACAAGCTGGGTTCTCTCGGTTCCTTTTGGTTAAGCTGTCTTGTTTTTGTTTGCAGATATTCAGCTGGGTTCAAAACAAGCTCACTGGCAAGAAACCCAACACCAACATCGTTCCAAACAATCGTAAGAACTGTTCTCTTTCGTTTTGATTCCATGTTTGATCCCCATACATGTTTTTGTCTCCAACATGTTTATTCTTCGTTGCTGATTCGTCCTCCTCCTCATCTTATAGACACCACTCAACAACAGCCTTGCAAAGAAGAGTTCAGCGACTGGCCTCATGGACTGCTAGCAATCGGAACATTCGGCAACAAGATCAAACAAGCACCAAATCCGCAACAAAATGTTCCCCCGACACAAGAACATGTTAATTATCTAGACGGTCTTACACCAGAAGAGGTAGGGAAGCTTCAAAAAGAGTTCAACTTGATATTTCAAGAACACGTTGAACCACCATCATCGGCTAATCCTGAAGCTCCTTCTGAAGAAAGGGTTTGCAGTGGATCCTCCGATGACCACCCCAGCACCAGTTTAGTCCACAGCAGAGGGAAAGATGTCAGCTTGGATCACTCCAAAGCTGCAATAGGGAAGAAATCATTGTCGTTTCTTTTAAAGAAGATGTTCGTTTGTAGCAATGGATTCTCACCAGCTCGCATTAGTTTAAGGGATCCAGCCATGGAGTCAAGAATGGAGAAGGTACTTAAAAAAACACATTAATCACATCAGTAAATCACATTGTTAATCAAGTATAATTAAAAATTTTGAGCTGTTTCCAGATGTTGAAAACTATATTTCACAAGAAGATATATCCACAAAATCATGGCAACAAATTGACTACCAAGAAATCCCTAGAGAGCAGTGCTCGTATTACCAAGACTGTCAATGGAGATGACGAGACAGAAAAGGCAGATGATGGAAGTAAATGGGTGAAAACAGATTCTGAATGTAAGTTGATATAAACAAACATATATGCTTGAAGAACTTGGATCTTAATTTGAAACCAATGAATGTTTAACTTGATTTTTTTTGTTCTTAATTGCAGATATTGTTTTGGAAATATAAGCTGCTTTGTTTTATGAAGATGACAGCCATAGCTTTGGAAAGCACATGTTTTGCACTGATCTTCTCTCGGTGTTGCTTCTTTGTTTTTGAATCCTCCCTATTAATTCTATGAATTTTGGTGTTTTTGAGGATGATAATTGAGAGTTTTATGAACTAGAACTTGTTCATCATCTTTTCTCTCAAGAGTTGGAAATCATCAGTTAATGCTGATATCGTGTTTCATCATTAAATAATAACTACCTATTTTAATAATCCACCACTAATATTAACAAGAGAGTTTCAACTCTTTTAACAGATATATAGTATAATTCATTAAACAATCCATTATAAATCCTTCAACGCACTTGATATTATATCAACTATTGAAAATATACACATTGAAGCATTTTAGTATTGTTCCAAATTAAAACGAGAACCAAGATTTTTAAATATTAAAAACTTATTAAACTATTTTAAATCAGAATCAATTTAATAAAAATATATAAGATTCGGTGACTAAAAATATTATTATATCATATCGCTATTTTGATTTATGATAAATTACGAGTAATTTTATTTTTCGCACTGAAATTTTAAACGGAACATTCAGCGATCTACATATCAGAAATACGAATAGCTTGTCAGCACAAAAGATTCACAAACCTTCAATCAGGAAGGGTGAGAAAAGAAATGATAGGCTCGTAATCGGGAAAGCTAGCGACGAGCTCGGACCGTTTACCGAGCTCGAAGTCTTGAAACAGAAAGGCAGGTGCACAGGTGCATCCCACGAGGGAATAGTGAGCCTCAGGATCTCTCGGTTCAGCTCTGGTAACTCCCCCGTCACTGGAAATGTGAAGATCCTTTGCTGGAAATGCACCAAACCAAACATATGGAGGTACAGTATATTGCACCCTCTGATCATCTACTATATCAGGTCCAACGCATGTTAGTTTCACCTTCCCATCTTTCTCGTCCAGCTCTACGATCTGTATCAATATTCAAACATGCTTTCGTTACACATTCAGAACAAAAAGACCAAGAAATTTCATGTGAGCGATTACCGTAAGAGGTTCTCCCTTATAAAAATGCCAGATCTCGGCGCATGGTATTCGATGAAGACGAGACACAGTTCCGGATTGTAGCATGAAGTAGATACATGTGCTCATTTCACGACCAACTTTGTCTGCAGTGAAACTAGTGCAATTAACAACTCGTATGTATTGATCTCAAGAAGATGAAGCATAAACAAAAGGAATTCGGTTGTTACATCGAGGAGGAAGATGAGATTTGGAGAGGAAGATGGAGGTGTCCCTGAAAGTTTCAGAATACAAACCACCCTCAGGGTTTGGGACCAGATTCAACTTGGCTGCGATCTCTGATGCAGAACCCATGTTTGCTTTTCCTTGCTCTTAGTTTCTGGATTTAACTGGTTAATTTAAAATGACAGAGGAAGGACTATGTTCCAGAGTTCAGACAAGCAAAAGAAACCTTTTGTCTTCCTATTCTTGTGTTTGAATTCAACTGCTTCCTGTGGCTATGTTGTCACCCCTGACGTTTACACGAATAAGATAAAATTCAGGGAAACTGCAAGTCAAGCGGCCCCTAACCCTAAAAGTTGAATACACAAGGTGTACCTGTAATGTTTTGAAGGGATGAGGGACGGCTAAACTCACAATATAATACTTTCAAAATAAATAATTCACGAGATAATGCACTCCCCATATTATTTTCTGAAATAGGGTGAAATCCATAGTGTGACCGTAGGTTGCCATCCGGGCGACCTACTACGTCGCCATGGCTTCCCGGCGAGCTGCACAGAGATAATGGATGTCTGCATGTGCCATGCACATCCCCAACACCCAACACAGGTCGCCATGCACGTCTCCAACACCCCAACACAGGTCGCCATGCACTCCCAGCGACCTTGTAGGTCGCCAAGCAATCCCGACGACCAAGCTGGCGACCAAACTTAACCCTGCTCGTTGGCGACCAAACTTAACCCTGCTCCCTCGTGCATGCGTTGCATCCATAGCTGGGAGATTCCTGCATCCATAGCTGGGAGATTGTAGCCAAGCTTTAACCCTTGTTCCCTCATGCATGCGTTGCATCCATAGCTGGGAGATTCTTGCATCCATAAGCGTTAATTTAGCTGCTAAATGCAGCAAATATTACTGTTGAATTGCAGCCTTTCAACGCTCAATAGTTACACGATTCAATGCTCAATATTATTTGCTTCAACAGTCAAATTTAATGACGCTCTCCAACGCTCATTTTCTTTATATAGAGGATATGGGGGTTTAGGGTTTAGGATTTAAGGTAAAAGCAGAAGCAGCATATATAGAAACTTTATCGAGAGAAAGAAAAGGAAGAAGAAGAAAAGAAGATAAAGGATCAAACATTCTTTTTTGAGGTAATTTTTTATTGTTTAATTTAGTTTATTATATGAAATTATTAGTTTGTTAGCTTAGGGTTTAGGGTAAAACTAAAATTTAGTTAATTAGTTTTCTAGTTTAAGTTATATTATATTAGTTTGTTAGTTTAAGTTATATATATTATATTATATAAAAAATTAGTTAATTAGTTTCTTAGTTTAAGTTATTAAATATAAAAAAATTAATTAATTTGTTAGCATCTTTAAACGTATATTAGGTTGTTTGTTGAAGTTATATTATAAAAAAAATTAATTAGTGCTTAATTAGTTTGTTATTTTAACTAAGTTATATTATAATAAATAAATAGTTTACTAGTTTAAGTTATATTATAATATATTAGATTATATAAAATTAATTTGTTTAATTTATTGTTGTTTAAAGAAATATTTTGTTTACACATACATGACATTATTCCACAACATTTGCCTAAGTACAGATTGATTCGAAGACTTGAACAAGAAAGGAAAATAAAGGAAAGGAAGAAGGCACAAACACGCGGGTAATTTATTATTTTTTGTTGTCAATTTTTAGTTGTTGTGTATGTGTAAATTAGTTAGTTAGTAAGTTTATATTAGATAATTTGTACGAGATAATTTATGTTTAAAAAATATTGTGTTTAAAAATATTTAGTGTTGTTTTAAAAATATTTTGTTTAATTTATATTATATGTGTAAATTAGTAAGGAGTAAAAATTAATTGAATGAAATAATCCGGTCAACGTATTATCTCACGAAATAATTCTTTCGAGAACATTATCTCGACAGTTCTGCCTAACAAATTTGTTTGATATTTTTAAAAAATAAAAAATATTATCAAACTAATCATTATTATTAGTAATAATTACTAAATGATTATTATCAAATATAAATCATTAAATATTTATAATAAATAATAATTAGTAATCATTACTAAATCATATTATTATTAAATCATTAAATATCAAATCATTAGATTAATAATAATTATTAAATCATTATTAGTAATATTAGTAATCAATCAATCAAATTAAATAAAAAATTTTATTTGATCATTAATATAATAGTATATTATATTATATTTAATGATTTATGAAATTATCTTATCTAATTTTTTAATCTAAATTAATTTATATTTTTATTTGTAGAGAAAATGAGCAACAACTTTTTCACGATTGTCCATTATAATGGATAGATTATGGAAAATGAGGTCGGAATAGTTTTTCAGTCTGAAAAACCAATAAATATGATGTTCAAAAAAGACATCACATTTATAGAAATGAAGCATAAGATAGAAAGAAAAATTCGAGCTGCAGTTGATGGTTTGACGTATAGGTTTATGATATGCCCCAACCCAGTCAGATATGCTGCAGTTCCACTTGAAGAAGATGATGATATTGGAACCATGGTTGGATTACATGAGTCAACCAATATAGCAGTTATTGAGTTATTTGTTGATGTACGTAACATATGTGATGTTCCTGGGTCATCAAGAGGTGTGGCTCAAAATCCATCTGAAATGGCTTTATATAGTCAGTTTGAAGAGCCAACATACAGGTTCCCGAACAGTTTTATGGCACTATTGGAAAGTGTAAATGAAGTCGGGGGGCATCTGCAACAGCAGAGTATGAGATGAGAAACATACCGGAATTGGTTGTTGATATTGACACTAAAAATCGATAGGGAGAAATTCATGATGATTCAAGCGAAGATGAAGAAACCGAAGAACCCGTTTTGAGTGGCGACGAAAATATTTTTTGGTGGAGGTGCAATTGATGAAGTTCCGGCACCGTATGAAGCTACTCCTCACATGTACGAGATAGACTATGATGCGATGAGGGCACCTGAATTCCCATACATGCCATATTTACCTCCATACCAAATGACTGAATCATTCGATAATTCTGGTGAATTTTCAGTTCGGGTGCAATTCAGAGGAAAAAATGAAGCTACCCTGGCGATTAAAGAGTACTGCATCAAATGCCATGTTGATGTCCATGTTGCAGAGTCCAACCAGAAAACCCTATACGCGAAGTGTGTAAAATATGGCCCAGAGTGCAAGTGGAAGATCAGAGTGTCGAAAAATCAAAGGTACGATGTTTGGGTCATCACGAGGTACAATGGTCCGTACACATGTTTGCAAAACTCCATCGAACAAGACCATCGACTATTGGACTCCGATGTAATATGTGAATACGTGAAGGCGATGATTGAAAATGATCCAAGGATATCTTGTTCAGTGTTAGATGCATCTATTCGAAGCCAATTTGGATATCAAGTAAAATATGGCAAGGTGTGGAATGCGAAGATGAAGGCAATGAAGCTGACGTATGGAGATTGGGATACATCGTACAATGAGCTACCATATTTGCTACAAGCAATGAAGCGATTTATCCCAGGAACCATAGTGAAGTCTCAAACCATGCCCGCATATGACGAAGAAGGTCAACTTCTGCAGGGAAGAAAATATTTCATAGACCATTTTGGGCATTCAAGGCATGTATTAAAGTATTTCCATTTTGCAAACGTATGATCCAAGTAGATGGTACGTGGCTGTATGGTCAATATAGGCATGTACTTTTGATGGCAGTTGCTCAAGATGTTGAGCGAAATATCTTCTCAATTGTATTCGCCATTGTTGAGGGAGAGATAACAGAGGCTTGGGATTTCTTTCTGACCAATCTACGTCAATATGTCGTTCGTGAAGATGGAGTTTGCTTGATATCCGATAGAGGAACGGGTATTTTGGCGGCAATTGAACATCCAAGAAGTTGTTGGATACCTCCGTATGCATATCCGACATTTTGTATCCGCCATATTGGCAAGAATAGTATCGACTAGTTTCATAACGCACACATTCGTAGCGAGATAGTCAGCATGGGTAAGTTTTATTTTCAATATTTGTGCATTTTTTACATGGTTTTTTTAATTGCGGTTTAACACAATATATTATGAAACAGGATACGAACTACGTCGACCAAATTTTGACAAGAGATTAGAGAATTTGAAGGTATTTTACGATGATCAGCGTGTTTGGAAGTGAGCTTCAAAAATACCGCGGGAAAAATGGTCGTAAGCATATGATGAAGGTCAGAGATACAAATATATGACCACAAACCTTGCTGAGGCCATTAATTCGGTACTAAAAGGTACACGCCATCTCCCAATTGCGAGTGTGGTGAAAGAGACGTACGTTAGATTGGCTAAAGTTTGGTCGGACAAAGGCAAAGAAATAAAGAGTCTCATAAATAGAGGTAAAACTTGGGCTCCTACAGTGTGGAATCAATGGAAACAAATGAGCGATTGGCAATATCAATGGTTGTTCATAATTTCGATCGAGTTGGTCATACTTTTATCGTGTCGTGCATACGCCGTAACGTCGGAGGAGAAGACCAAACATTTAGAGTTGATTTACGACAGAAATGGTGTGATTGTGTCATTTTCAGGCATGTAAATATCCATGTGCTCATACAATCGCTGCATGTATGTATGTTGGTATAAGCGCATACACTTATGTTGATGAATGCTTTCACCTACGTAGGATATTAAATGTCTACAACTATGCGTTCAGACAGATCCGAATGAATCATATTGGCCCAGAAAAGATCATGACGAATGGCTGCCAAATCCAATGCTTCGCATAAGTCCAAAGGGTCGACTTGAGTCCACTCGTATTCATACCAATATGGATTTCCATGCTAGAGAGAGAGGTCAAGCAAAGAGATGCGGATTATGTAGGGGTGAATGCCATTCAAAAAACAATTGTCCTAATTTACCAAGATATAAGCTTCATCATTAGTAATGATATATGTATTTCTATGAATTTCTATGTATTTCTAAGATTTAGTAATGATAAGTAATAATGAAATTATTATTAATATTAATGATTTGATATTAATGATTAGTAATAATGAAATTATTATTAATATTTAATGTTTTGATATTAATGATTTAGTAATGATTAGTAATAATGAAATTATTATTAATTTTTAATGATTTGATAGTAATGATTA